GACTGCATGTTTATTCAATTTCATTACTTGCGTAGACCGCATGTTTTGCTTGCGTAGACCATATGTTTATTCAATTTCATTACTTGCGTAGACCGCATGTTTTGCTTGCGTAGACTGCATGATTGTTCAATTTCATTACTTGTGTAGACCGCATGTTTTACTTGCGTAGACCGCTTGTTTTTACTTGCGTAGACTGCATGTTGGCATTCAATTTCACTACCTGCGTAGACCGCATGTCCTGCTTGCGTAGACCGCATGTTTGTAATCAATTTCGTTGCCCGCATAGACCGCGCGCTCCACTTATATATCTGTGCCTTCACAGCATTGTTATGTTTCCCATTCGCTTTGCGTTGTCACGCATTTCGAGCCCACTATTATGCATGTTGCTAACGATATTGTACCTGTTAAGTTTGTTTTCTTTGCAGGCACAATATTGTATGTATGGTTCATTTGAGGTGGGTGCAACCAGACGAGCCGCACAGGTATTTGTATCCTCCGAGTGAGACGTATCGAGAATTGCTTAATTCTCTTACATCCTTTCTACATTGTAGTGTAGTTTGGTGTATGCTAGCTTAAAACTGTCGCATGTATGCTTTGTTACAGTTTTCTTTGCATGATCATAAGTTATGTCCGGCTCTGTGCATTGTCTTGCATCTTGCCCCTGCCTTTGGGAGCATACCTTGTTTGCCTTCCATGTTTGTCTGAGTCTTCGGCCTTGTCAAAAATGGGTCGTCTCTGGGCTTTGACATTCACTCCCGTCATTGTTATGACTTTCGAGTTCTGTCAAAGAGGGGCAACTGTAGACACCCCATTTTTGACCATTCTCAAGATTTGGACGTCACCGTTTGAACACTCGCCTCAGGATCTCTCGACCTGACTGTTTCGTGTTTGGCTTTGACACCAAACACTTGTGTTTTTGCCTTGAAGGGAGGAGAATGGCTTGTTGGCCACCCTCACATTCCACCGGCCTTCCCCTAGCATCATCGGCTGTTTAGGGGTGCCACCGGCCATGGTTTCTTAAAATCAATGACCGGTCGGCATAGTATACTGCCGATCGGCACTTTATTTTGCCGGTGACATCTTTTGCTGGCCGGTGTGACTCCTTTGCACCCTTGAGGCATGGTGCATGCCAGCTGTGCCAGCTGGAATGCACCATCACTCCTCCCGTCGTTTTTGGCTGGTATGGCCTTTGAACCCCTTTGTCTCTTCTAGAAGGCATGAAACCAGAGAGACCTTGCTAAGCTTCTTGGAGAAGCTTGGCCAGTTGTTTTTAGCTTCTCCAAGAAGCCCTAGACTCCTTTGCACCTTTTGCCCCTTCACTTGCTTACTTGGAGAAGCCAAGAACCATCTTGCTTTGGCTATATATAGAAGGCCCTCCTCCTCCATTTAAAGGTTGGGAGTTTTAAACCTAAGAACCAGTAGCTTATATACATATATCTGCTATGGATATATTCATCTCTCTCTTATATTTCCCTCTCTCTCCTCCCTTAGTGTGTGTTTGGTAGCCCAAAAGTGCATTTTTACCTTACTTTTGCACTAATACACACACCATTACACCTTGCTCCGAGATTGAGAGGCTTTGAGGGTTGATTCTTGAGGTTTTAGACTGATTTTGATCAGTAGAAGGTGGCTAGATCATCTGTTCTTCAAAGTTTCTTCAAGGGTAATCACTTTGCTTTAGTTTCCCCAAACTTGCACTAGTTTTTTACTTGTCTTGCTTGCTGATTTAGGCTTTGTACATAACATAAAAAAAGCTTATATTTTCATGCTTAAGAACTTTCATTAAGGGTGTTTTGTGGTTCGAGTTCAAACTCACCCTCTTATGCCTTATTTGGCCTTTTTGGTGCTTCCTTTGTGAGGCTTTGTTTGCTTGAGTGTCTTGGTCTTCTCACCACTGAAAACCAGTGGATTTTCAGTGGTGAGGAAGGTGGTTTGAAGTCTTGTATAGGGGAGGGACATCCCTCTCCCTTCATTGCCTCATTTTCTTGCCTTTTGGCTTAAAGGGTAACATGCATGCTTGATCTTTTTTGGCCTTATTTCAGAGGTTTTTGGGTGTCTCTAGGTCACATGCTATCTCTGTTCTTGGTCGGATTTGTGCCCTTTTGCATGCTTAACATACTTGCTTTACATTCCTCTATTTGGTCTAGAAATGCATCTTATGTTTAGGTCATGATTCTTGCATGTGTTAGCCTAATTTCATGAAGGTATTGGCATTACTTTACCATGTTTAAGGCCTGTTGGCCATCTGTTTCAGTCATGCTTGCCATGTTTGGAGTCATCTCTTTGTGTTTTGGCTTGTAAGCCTTGAGTATATTGGCCTCTAACATGCGTAGCTTAGGCCATCCTCATGATTTGGCATCATTTAGGATCATATTTCAGCCCATAAATCATGTTTGTATGTCTGCATATGTGACCTCTTTCATGCTTTGAGGATGTGCCCTTTTATGCCTAGAAATGAATTTTGGTGTATGCATCTCATTGGAGCCACTTAAGCTGCCATATCAGTGGGTTTTGAGTCCATTTTTGCATGCTAGGATTCTATTTTTGCTTGTCTAATTCATGCCATGAATGGTCATGTTAGTGGAAGTAAAGTGCCCCATTTTTGTGCCTTAGCCTTAGGCCCATTGGCTTGCATGTTGGCATGAGTGTTAATCCACCATTTTGGACACTTTTGGCCACTGTTTTGAGGTGGATTGAGGTCTGCCCCTTTATGGTTTAAGTCCACCATTACATGCTTGTCTCATGTTTGTTGCATGATTGCTTCATTAGGTGTTGTAATATGATGATCCTATTGCTCAAATCATCCATGTTTGCATTGCATTTGGATCTTGCATGCCTAGCATTGCATACTTGCCATGGTAGTAATGTAATGCATGTTGGCATGCCTTGCATGTTAATCTCATGTTGTATCTTTGAGTCATGTTTGCATGACATGCATTGCATTACTTGGTTTGGGGTGTCAAACCAAGTGTGGGGGTTAAGGAGCGTTCATACTTTAAGTGATGTAACGCGTCTTAACTCTCGGTCACCACGGCCCTTGACTTCAACATGATAGGGTCTTGGTCCTCATTTGTGTGTTGCATGCATTTTTACATCAAATGGCAAGCTTGATCTCTTAGGCTATCATGCACAATTGATGGCTCGAGGATCGAGGGCCATGCTTCCCTGAGTTCAATACATGATGGGGAATATGGCCATGCTCACATGTGCCTGAAATCCCATGCCATATACTGTCTGTCCTCTGTTGCTGTCAAAACTGTCTTCTGCAGGAAGTCCCTGCCGATCGGCAGTGTTCAGTGCTGACCAGCAATCCTCCCTGGGCCGATAGCTTCATAAACAGCCGATGGGTATTTTCAATGGCCGGTGGACATTTCCTTCAGCCGATGATGTTCCATAGTGTTCAGGGGACCTGTCCCAGAACTTTGGCATTTTTCAGAGAAGCAGGGCAGTGTAAACAGAGGCGGCAGTGGTATGGTACGAACCTTCTGGGCGAGACGGGTTCGAGCATGCATCATTCGCACATCCCAAGGCGGGGGCTGTGGCCACCTTTCTTTTTGCATTCATTCTGTTAATTAATTAGAAGTTCTGTAATAATTTATGCGTTTATTATTCGGACTGTAATATTTATTTGGACCCTCCGAGTGAGGGCAATTCTGTAATAAGTGTGCGTGAGTGTGTGTATGTCTTCCAACCCCACGTCTTTCTTCCCCTTTTATTTACCTGCTTTGATGGTTAATAATAGGACATGTTTAATTTAGCATACCTTATGCTATGCATGCGTGCATCATTCATCAGTATTGCATGCACCGGGCTTGGCACATCATGCTAACTGCATTAGTATTTCAAATTTAACTTGAATACATGCTACTCGTGCATTTTCACATGCCATGTTTAGGTTAGCCGAGCCTATTCTAATTGCATCCTGTATGTGATGCATTAGTCAATTTGACATGCACTAGGACCATGCATGTTGGCTAACTAGTTTATTGTTTTGGCTCGGAGTACTCGGTAAGCATTTATGCTTTAGCATATCTCATGCGTGTGAATGCTACCATGACAGCATGCTTACCATGTGTCTAGATACTTATGTGATAAACTGTTTGAATGCCTGTGGGTGAAGGTTGGATTGTCTGAGTTGGAAACACTCGTTGAAATCCGTGTTTTAGCCTACTTGCGGGTAGCAAATTCCAAAACATTTTTCCAAAATAAACGGGCATGCAAAGCTTATTTCCAAATTAGGCAATCTAGTCTATACTTGTTTTCTGTGTTCATAACATAGTAATTCTAGGCTAATAAATGGAATAAGAACACATAACGTTTTCAAAAACGGATATCACGGTTAGTAGAGGCCGATCTTCGGATCGGGCGAGAAGGGGTGCTCATAGCTGACCTTCCCCAATCGTACCCTAGCTCCCGAGCCGAGGCAACTCTGGTGATGACGGACATGTGGTCTTTGGCACCGAGTCAGGGTTTCCTAAATTCCCCCAAAATAAAATATTTAGGTGGCGACTCTGTATCTGGCAAAGCAGTCCATGTTTGGCACTTCTTTTTCTAAAAACCTATTTTCTCAGAACGATTTGTCAGACTTGGACTCTTTGGTTCAGATTAAGAACCGTGACACAAAATCGAGTCCGAACTGTAGCGAGGGCCCCCCACGCGGGCGCGTCTACAGATGGTTTTTCTGGGTGAAAAAAGAAAAACGAGTAATTTACACCGTTCACAAATAGGGGGCATATAAGCATGGGCAAGATAGATTGTGAAAAAATCCATTTACATTTCACAAGATATGGAACAATTACTGATACCAAACTCATAACCCTTTCTTTCTTCCGCAACTCTATCAAATCTAAAGTTCTGTCTCAATACCCTATATTAGTTACTTAGCTAGTTGCTTACCATTATCATGAAACTTCAGACCAAACCCAAGAACAAACAGAAAATTAATACAATCATAGAAACTGAAATCTTAGTTCTTTAGTCTATGATGTGAAAGATGCACTTTAATGGTTACTCAATCTCCGACCAAATTTTGTGTTCATTGCCTTCTCTATATCAACAGGGTCTCCTTGTAAATCAAATTGATCCTGCAAAAAATAGATAAGTCATAGATAATTCTTATAAAAAATAAAATAATTACAATAAATAATTAAGATTTCTAACCTATTATAAAAATGAGTAAAATCTCCTATAAGTAGACAACGAACTTACATTCAAGCGTTGAAACATCGCCTCCTTAACGGAGGCATCAACATACTTCCACCTATGAACACTTGGATTTGGTAAACGAGTTCGCACTTCTACACCAATCTTTGAGGCTAGTTTTGAGGCATAGTCCCCTACCGGTGCACGAAATTCTGGAGGGATAGGCACGCTAAGCTTTCCATCTTTATCAACAAGGCCTTGAACCTCTTTGCCTCGAGTCGGGCCACGAGCACGCTTAGCAGCTGATATTGTGATGCCATAATATTGAAATAGTATGTGAACAAATTTAATTAAGATCTCAAATCAATGTAAATAAAGAGTGTGTCTTACCAATAGTATTACCAGCAGTCACCTCAAGTTGAGGCTCCACATTGAGAGGTGGTGGCGGATTGCTAGTCACCTCAGGACGTGAAGAGGTATCCCCCTCTTCTAATGCGTGGGTCAATGCCTCATGATGAGATTGTGAACGGGCTCTCGATGGTATCTCTAACAGCTGAATAACATAATAAAATATGAATATATGTACAAAGATATACATGTCTATGTGTGTATGAATTGAAAGTAACAAGAAAGAATATATTTCACAATGCATAAATGTATAGTACCTCATGCTCAAACGAATCATAGGTTTCAGTGTCACTGCCATCTTCAGCCTCTGACGGTCGATAATCATCATCATTTTCCTCAATTGGTATTTGTTTTTCCTTCCTCAATTTCTTATGTTGAACCGTAGCCTTCAAACAAGTTGTTATATTCTTCACTCCTAGAGCATTCATTCTCTCACGGTTTTTATTAATATTCTTCATTCTTTGTTTCTCATAGTTCGTTACCTTCTTAGTTGTGGTACTTGGTTTGGTCAACTGCTTTTTTGTAGCGTCCATTTTGCCCAACTATAAAGCATAATTGAACATTTTTTTGGTGGATACGCATAATTGAACATTAGATGTAAAGAAAAGATAATTATATATTTCTATACATAAAGCATAAAGCAACTACAATCTCAACAAGTGGATATGTCATATAGGCTCTAAATCATTGAAATATGGCTAGAGTGATATGGATGATTTTTGTTTTTACCATTTACTTATCATAGAACAAATTAACTACAAAGCCATCAGACACACAATATGACCAATCAATGATAAACCTACATAACAGTGGATGAACCCCACAACTGAAATTTAACTACATTAATTAAGAACAATGTTCATATAGAAAGTGCAAAATAACTACAAATCCTAGTCTACATCAAGATCCATATCGTAATCCACATCAGGTTCGTCACACTCTTCATTTTGTTTGTCAGCTCTTTTCTGTATCATTGTTTCATCAGATGACCTAACCCTTATAACAACTTCTGCTTCAACACCATCTCTATAACATTGAACATTAGGGCCGATGTCAATTGGAACAACATCGGTAATATTTTCTTGTTGGAACACATCATTTTCTTCTGGTTCATGTAATGATTCTCCATCACCTACCTCTGGTACATCAAAGGCACCCATATGTTGCACTCGTTGAACGACTTGCCAAGGTTGTCCCCATTTGGTATCATTTAGGTAAAAGACTTGCTTAGCCTGGCTAGGCAAGATGAAAGGGTCGTGTTGATACCACCGACTTGTGACATCAATACTTGTGCAATAATCATCGGTTCGCAATGTTCTACTTCGACCTGTATTTCCTGTGTTGTACCATTCACACTGGAACAATACAACTTTGTTATGACACATGTACTCCAATTCCCAAACATTGCACAAGTGACCATAAAATTCATGCGTCACTCCCTCATGATCCCCTTCCGTAAGCACACCACTATTCTGACTGTTACGGCGATTGTCTACTTCTCTTGTACGAAACCGTACGCCATTGATTATGCAACCTGAGTACTCTTTTACTAGTAAATTTGGGCCATTTGCTAACGACCATAAATCATTGGTTGCTTTTGGTGACTTTTCTTCTCTTAATATATTTATCTACATTCACATATAACGTACATTAAGATAGTAAAAATAAATTAATAAATGATCAAATCTTATACAAATTTTTAATCATGTCTTAAAATTGAAAATGCCTTACCCGCTCTTTGAACCACTTGGGAAACTCTTGTTGTTGTATACGGGTTATGCCTTGGTCAGATAGAGTCCGTAATAGATTTTTGTGTATCCTACTCAAAAGAATGTGATTATTATGCACTGCTAACTACATTAACAAAGCTAAGAATACACATATTTAAATGGAAAACATACTCTAGATACTTCTCTATCTCAGGGCTATTGTTCAACAAGAACCAATAAGCCATATCACGATATTCTTGTGACATATCAGCATCCCTTGTGATTAGGCCAATAGGACGGGCAATTTCTGTGAATACAGTTAACCCTTTGTGACGTTCGCCACGATCTTGATTTCGTTCGGGTCGATTATGCACTGTTTCGATCCCATCAACATACATTGAACAAAAAGTAATGCACTCTTTGACAATGTAAGCCTCTGCGATTGAACCTTCTGGTCGAGCTCGGTTTGTAACAAACTTTTTTAAAGCTCCGAGAAACCTTGAAAAGAGAATTAGTTAAGAGCAAGGTTACACATGCAACATATAATTACGAACCTTTCAATTTAACAATTACCTTTCAATCCGGTACATCCATCGATATTGCACCGGTCCTCCAAGAATAGCCTCACGCAGCAAGTGAACGGCCAAGTGAACCATCACATCAGAGAAGGCTAGAGGAAAGATCTTTTCAAGCTCGCATAATATGTGTACTATACGTTCCTCTAATTTCTCAAGTTCATTACGGCGCAGTGTCCTTGAGCACAAATCCTGGAAAAAGCTACCTAACTCAAATAGTGTTTTACTAATCTCTTTGTCTACGTAACCACGCATCCCAATTGGAAGAATCCGTTGTGTGAGTACATGGCAGTCATGACTTTTCAAGCCTGTTAATTTACCATTTCTCGTATTCACTGATCTTGATATGTTTGCAGCATAGCCATCCGGATACTTCACTGATTTCAAGAATTCAAAGAAACCCTCCCTCTCTTCAGGGGTCAATGAAAAGATTGCCCTAGGTTTGACATAAGTTCCATCAGGACGACGTGTTAACCACAACTCTTTCCTTATACCCATATCTTCCAAGTCCATCCGTGCTTTGTCGGTGTCTTTGTTCTTTCCATCAATGCCTAACATAATTCAAAGGTATTTTCACTAAAATTCTTCTCGACGTGCATAACATCAATGTTGTGTCGAAGCTTCCGTTTCTTCCAGTATGTAACTCATACAAGATGCTTACCTTTGTCCAATTTGGTGCCTGACGGGGTCTTTTCTTATTTCTTGGATGCTTCCCATATGTGACACCTGTCACTCTATCCAATGGCTCTAATATCTTTTCCACTGGTAACTTTAAAGATCTCTTTCGCTTTTCATGCTTACCATTGTAAGCCTTACTCTTTTGCCTTTCGGGGTGGTTTTGAGGCAAGTAGCATCGATGGTTAGTGTATGCAGTCTTACCTTTCAAGGATTGAAAATATGGTTCATCATTGCAAGTGTAGCAAGAATAATGACCCTTTGTTCTCCACCCAGATATGTCACCAAATGCGGGCCAATCGTGTATAGTCCACATCAAAGCTGCACGCATCTGGAAAGACTCACCAGTTACGGCATCGTAAGATAATGCACCATTTTCCCACAACTCATTCAACTCATCCACCAGAGGTCTCATGTAGACATCAATATCGATCCCTGGTTGTGATTCTCCAGGAATAAGTAGTGACATCATAAGAAAGGGGTCTTTCATAACCAACCAAGGTGGCAAGTTATAAGGAATGAGTACTACAGGCCATAAACTATACGAGTTGCTCATGTTCCCGAAAGGATTGAACCCATCAAAAGCCAACCCTAGGCTCCAGGGCAAACTAAGGATGTTGCACATCAAATTCCTTCCATTCATCACTATCGGCGGGATGTCTCAATACTCTGTCATCTATACGTTTCTCCTTGTGCCATCTCATGTCCTCATCAGTCTTTTTTGACATGTACAATCTTTTCTACTTTGGTGTTAATGGGAAGTACCGCAACACCTAATGGGGAATCTTCTTACCCCTGCCACGATTGATCTTGTATCTGGATGCCTTACATTTTGGACATTTATCTAACCTTGCATTTTCCTTCCAAAAGAGTACACAATCATTTATACAAGCATCAATTAACTCATATGACAAGCCCAAATCTCGAAGTATTTTCTTAGCTTCATAAAATGACTTTGGAACCAAATTATCTTTTGGTAAAAGTTTTGTTAAAAACTCCAATAGTGTGTTAACCGACTTATTACTCCAGTGGTTTGTTACCTTCATATTAAGCAGCTCGATGACAAACTTCAACAGAGTGTAGTTTGTGCAACCTAAGTACACCTCACGTTTGGCATCATTCAATAGTTTATCAAACGTTTGTACTTCCTCATTCTGGGGTGCATTGTTGGGTTCTCCTCTGATTCGATCTTCCACTAAGGCATCAATACCACCTAAAACCTCATCTTCATCAATTGCCATTTCATGATGAGCCTCATTTGATACACGTGGTTTCCCGTGCTCATGCCAAATAGTGTACATTTGCATAATCCCATATTGAAGCAAATGAATTTGCACATTTCGAAGATTTTGGGAATAATAGTTCACACAATTCAAACATGGCCACGGAATTTTACCTTCCTAGTCAACAACTGCCATTGCAAATTTGATAAATGATGTCACCCCATCAATAAATGGCTGACTCATCCTTCCATCAGGTGTCTTACCCAATGCAATCCAACTCTTATAATTTTATATTGAATAATTAAAAAATAACAAAAAAACATGATGTATAAGTGATTGGTGAGAAGAAACATGAGTACGTTGCACCCAGTAACACCGAATAATTTTTGCGTTGAAGTGTAATGTGGGAGTTTTTTGAGATGGGTCAGGTCTTAAAACGTGGGAATTGGCTGTATGTTTACATCAACTTATCAACTTCTTTCAATTTTATTTGATTTTATTTTTTGAAAACGATTTGGAGTTATTTGTTTTTTTTAGATACACTTAATTTAACTATACTTAAAATGTAAAATATTTATGAAAAATAAAAATCAATAAAAAAAATGACAATGTACTAAATTTTTATATTTTTTTGCATGTAGTGAATTTTTTATAGTGTTTTCATAAATTATAGCGACCCCGGTCTTTTCCCATTTCATTATTGTATCCGGACTGTTCCGTAGACTCTGTCTTTGTATAATGGTTGTTGTTGTTATTCCTTATTTTCTCATTTGGAATTATAGGATGTGTTGGGCAGGTTTGTTTCAGGAAGACAAATGTCACCCAAGTAGGAGTTTCTTGCTACTAAGGTTCCATCAATCTTGGTTTATGTCTACACATAAAGCCACAGTGGGCTACATGATTGTATTACTACTTGAAAGGAGGGTAAAACCAATAGACAGTTAAAAGTGGATGCAAATGAGTTATAAGTTGGGAATGTTCTCATGTGAAAGGAAGACAAATGTCACCCAAGTAGGAGTTTCTTGCTACTAAGGTTCCATCAATCTTGGTTTATGTCTACACATAAAGCCACAGTGGGCTACATGATTGTATTACTACTTGAAAGGAGGGTAAAACCAATAGACAGTTAAAAGTGGATGCAAATGAGTTATAAGTTGGGAATGTTCTCATGTGAAAGGAAGACAAATGTCACCCAAGTAGGAGTTTCTTGCTACTAAGGTTCCATCAATCTTGGTTTATGTCTACACATAAAGCCACAGTGGGCTACATGATTGTATTACTACTTGAAAGGAGGGTAAAACCAATAGACAGTTAAAAGTGGATGCAAATGAGTTATAAGTTGGGAATGTTCTCATGTGAAAGGAAGACAAATGTCACCCAAGTAGGAGTTTCTTGCTACTAAGGCT